TGTAGAGAGCATTGCAGTAGTCCAGGCGGGAAGTCACAAGGGCATGAGTGACCGTGCGTAGGGCGTCCCGGTCCAGAAACGGCCGCAACTGGCGAATCAGGCGAACCTGATAAAACGCTCCCCTGGTCACGGCCGACAACTGGTCGTCCAATGTCAACCGTGAATCCAGGAGAACACCCAAGTTGCGGACCCGATCTGATTAGTTGATTAATCATCACGGTTGTTGTTATATTTATTGTTTTGATATTTTTAAATTGTTTTATAGTTTTAGAATTGTAAGTGGAGCCACTTTGCTGAGCTGGGCAGCTACAGGAACGGAACAGATCAATAAAATATTTTGAATGCTTGCCACGCAGAAGGAACGAATTGCTCTAGTGGCGTATCTTGGGTAAAGTAAAAATGGCAGATTCCACTCTCATCAAGAACCGAAGCGTAACAGAAACCTTAGCTATTCTTCCTGAATTAGGTTCGCACGACGCCTCCGTTCCTAAAGTGCTGGGACACAGGGCAGCTTTGTGTTGACTTGCAAGGTGGCCTCCTGATCTGAGCTACCTGCGCAAGAAGGCTTGAGCTAAGGCTGGGGTCTGGTTACACGCCCGGCATCCTGCCCCGCAGGTAGTGAATCTGATACACCTCTCCCCCCCAAAAAAAACCTTACACAATATATTTCATCCTCAGTCTATGCCAGGGGTAGGCAACCTTGGCTCTTTTATGACTCGTGGACTTCAACTCCCAGAATTCCTGAGCCAGCACAGCTGCCTACCCCTGACCTATGCAATATGAACAGAGAGAAAAAAAGGAAAAAATAGAAGAAAAAAACAGGATGAAAAGTTAACATTAAAACAACAGAGAAAATGCAGAATGGTTTTAAAGAATATCATGTTCTGAAGAAGGTAAGACAAAATTGAACAATAATCAAAGTGACAAAGTGAGCCGGGATGGAATGGAAGTGAGAAAATGGGGGAAGGAGGCCTGTCTCCTGAAAAGACGAAATCGAAATTACAAACCTATAAATTCTGATCGAAAGGGTAGAAAAGATAATAATGAATAAACTTGACAGTGGCTGGTGTTGTGTTATGCTGGCCCCACCAATGTTGCTCTTTGGTTGACGAATGCACAGGTAGGATCACGTTCAACTTGTGTTAACTGTGTTCTTGATGGCTTTTGCTGATCCTGGTGGCCGACTGAGCTTATGTGCATGCGTTTGTGTATCTACATATAGATGTGTATGGTATGTGTGTGTGTGTAACATATGTTTTGTTTAATATTGTTTTTAACTGCTGCTAGGCACCCAATGTTTTAATTGGAGATGAGTGGCAATTAAATTAAGCTAATAAATACATATCTGCCGTGCTCTCAGCGGCTCCCACTGTCCCCACAGAGAATGTTTCAGACCAGCTACGGCCCTCGCATTTGACCTGACCCTCAACCCAAAATTTAGAGGCCCNGGGGGTTGCTCTTGAGCTGGGCAGGGGAGGACAAACTCACCTTACTGACGACCTTCTGCTGCTGCGTGTGCTTCTGACGCAAACTGGCCACCTCTCGCCACAGGGCCTCGTTCTCGCTGCAAGGAGAGGGGCGACCGGGCCGTTAAGCGAGTCGGCCTCGTGAGCTGCCCCTGAAGACGGAGGCCGCAAAGGGCTTCCTGCAGATGGGCACCCCTTCCAAGCAGAGGGCAGCCCACGGGGCACCAGAGATGGAGGGGGGGAAGCTGGCACGCGCCCTGCAGGTGCCCAACTGAAGGGAGCCGGCAAAGCTTTAGTCTTGGGGGAGGGGGGGGAGAGAGAGAGAGCAAAGGCTCCTCATTCTGGAATGAGCCTACTTGAAAACAGGCTTTGGGGAGGACAGAAAGTTTATTAAAAGGCAGAAGCCTTGGTGAGCTGCAGCTCTGAGCTTCACCTTCTGGAAGGTGTTGCTGG